AGCAGCTGCTGCAGCAGCAGCAGCTGCTGCTGCAGCAGCTACTGCAGCGGACGCCGCTGGACTCCTTTTTGTTTTTCTCTGTACATCTAATGACTGAATCTGTTGCTACTGTTGCTGCTGCTACTGCTGCTACTGCTGCTGCTGCTACTGCTGCTGCTGCTACTGCTGCTGCTGCTACTGCTGCTACTGCTGCTGCTGCTACTGCTGCTGCTGCTACTGCTGCTGCTGCTACTGCTGCTGCTGTACATCTATGCTTAAAGGGGCATTCACAGAGTTACCGTGGCCCAGTGCAATTCAGGTGTACAGACAGCTCGTCTGTGTTGAGGCTGCTGCATCAGAAATATTTCTTCTTCTCGGGAAGTTGCTGCTGCAGCTGTTGCTGCTGCAGCTAAGGCCGTTACAGTTCTTGCTGCAAAAGGCCGCAGGGATTGCTGCTGCTGCAGCAGCGGCTGCTGCTGCAGCTGCTGCTGCTGCTGCTGCAGCTACTAATCCTGCTAGCTGGAGGGGGTGGGGCTGACGCTGCGGTGTCTCCACAGTTNTGCTGCTGCTGCAGCTACTAATCCTGCTAGCTGGAGGGGGTGGGGCTGACGCTGCGGTGTCTCCACAGTTGACCGGTGGGGCGACAGGGGGGCTTCTGACGCCAGAAATAGTAGCAGCAAACTTTAACACTGCGGGCATCTGCTGCTGCTGCTGCTGCAGCAGAGGCTCCAGCTGCTGCTGCTGCTGCTGCAGCTGCAGCAGCTACAGCAGGCAGTTGCTGCAGCTGCTGCAGCAAGTGGTAACAGGTTCCCAGCAGCAGCAGCAGAGGAAGCAGCAACAGCCGCAACTCGCGGCAATCAATACAATAACTAAAGAGCCAAAATAAAGTTTTACTGCTGCTGCACCTCCTGAGCCTCAGCTGGTGCGCCGCTGCTGCTGCTGCTGCTGCTGCTGATGTTTCCCTCGCCCTCCCCTTTCTGCTTCTTTTGCTGCTGCTCTCCTGGAGACGCCCAGGCAGCGCTGCGCTTGTCTGCTGTTCCTTGCTGCAGCTGCTGCTGCAGAAGCTGCTGCTGTTGCTGCTGTAGCATCTGTTGGTGCTGCAGTAGCTGCTGCTGCAGCAAATGGCGCTGCAGCTGCAGCTGCTGCTGCTGCAGCTGAGCTGCTGCGCCAACTGGCTGNCGCTGCTGCAACAGCAGTTGCTGCTGCCGCTGCTGCAGCAACAACTGTTGATGCAACTGGGGTGTTGCGAGCGGCTGCTGCCGCTGCTGCTGCTGCAGCTGCTGCTGCCGCTGCAGCTGTTGCTGAAGCAGCTGCTGCTGCAACTGATGCTGCTGCAGCTGTTGTTGTTGGAGCTGCTGCTGCTGCAGTTGTTGTTGCAGTTGAGGCTGTTGCAGCTGCTGCACCTGCAACTGATGTTGCTGAACTTGCTGCTGCAGGTGCTGCTGTAGCTGCTGCTGCTGCTGCAGCTGCTGCTGCAACTGGGGTGGCACGTTTCGTAGTTGCTGTTGCTGCTGCAGCTGTTGCTGCAGTTGCTGCGCCTGTTGCTGCAGCTGCTGTGCTTGCAGCTGCGGCTGGCGCAGCTGCTGCTGCTGTGCCTGTTGCTGCAGTTGCTGCGCCTGCTGCTGGAGCTGCTGCTGCAGCTGGGGCTGTCGCAGATGTTGCTGCTGTGCCTGCTGCTGCAGCTGCTGGCTATTTTGCACCTGGGGTTGCCGCAGCTGCTGCAGCTGAGCTTGCTGCTGCTGTATCTGCCGCTGCTGTTGCTGCAGCTGCTGCTGTTGCAGTTGCTGCTGCAAGAGCTGCTGCTGGTGGATCTGTTGCTGCTGCGCTTGCTGTTGCTGCGGCAGGCGCTGTTGTTTGAGTANAAGAGCTGCTGCTGGTGGATCTGTTGCTGCTGCGCTTGCTGTTGCTGCGGCAGGCGCTGTTGTTTGAGTAAGTCTTGTTGTTGTTGCAGTTGGGTCTGTCTACGTTGCTGCTGTTGCTGCTGTTGCACCTGCTGCTGCTGCTGCAGCTGTTGCTGTTGCTGCTGCTGTTGCTGCTGCTGCTGCGACGAGTCTTCAGTGATGCGTATTTGGTCTCCATCTGATATGTGCCCCTCAAAGTACTCCCCCCCCATCCTCTGGCTGCGTGCTGCTCTGCGTTGCTGTCTGCTGGCGCCTCGTGCGGTGGCAGCAGCAGCAGCAGCAGCAGCAGCAGGTGCAGCAGCGGGAGCAGCAGGAGCTGTCGGAGCTGCGGCTGTGGGTAGGTTTCCAGTTGCAGGTGTAGCAGCAGCAGCAGCCGCAGCAGCAGCAGCAGCTGCTGCTGCTGCTGCTTGAGCCCTTGCTGCAGCAGCACCTCCCCTGCCCCCATAACCACCCCGCCCCCTACCCCTGCCTCTGCCTGCTGCTGCCCCCAGCGAACCATCGGCCTTGAGAGCCCGCTGCAGCGCAGCCTGTGCTTCTCTCCCATCGTCTATGTCTCTCATCTGGCTGCTGCAGCGGACCTGCTGCCCGAGACTGAGCCGCATGCATACAGCTTGCTGCGATGGCGGTGGGTTGCAGTAGAGCAGCTTCTTGCATGCAGCAACAAAGACAGCATCTATATCAGCAAAGCGAACCTCTAGCCCCCTAAATAAACCCAAAGGCAGCTGCAGCAACTCCCCTTCTGCTGCTTCGGCTATATCAATAAGACAAGAACGAGAAGAAGAGATAATATCTCTGAGGAATATTAATAAACGTTTATCTAATGCAGCTGTCTCTGAGGTGTATGTACACTGCAACTCTGCTGGGGGTAATTCATTCTGCGGGAACATTATACTTATTGCCTGTCTCATCTCATTCATATCTAATACTTCTGGTGTTGCTTCAGTTAGAGCAGCAAAAGCTTCTGCTGCAGCACTCAGCAACACCTCGCATACCTTGACCTGCAGCGGCATGCTTGTTAGCCGCACCTCTTCATCTGCTGCATCCTGCTGCTGCTGCTGTACAGATGGTTGCTGCTGATGCAGCTGCTGCAGCTGCTGCTGCTGCAGTCGTTGCTGCAGTCGACGCAGCAGCTTCAGCTGTACATCCACTGTCTCTGTTAGTATCTTCATTGCTGCATGCAGCTCATCGAGTCTCTCTATACGGTCTACGCCCCCAAAGACCCAGCC